AATAATAAAGCAAACAAAAAATAATGAAATAAAAACAATATTTATGCAGACTGTAAAGCGCAAATTATTTACACAGGGCACAGAAATAACAACGTTGCAAGTTCTTTTTACTGCTGGCACAGATTATTATAATAAAACAAATAAATACACAAAGAACGAGCGCGCTATGGCTGGCGCTGGCTGTGGCTCTCGCTCTGGGCGTCCTCATGTACAACGGGGCGTATGCGTATGTGTGTGTGTGTGTGTGTGTGTGTGTGTGCCCGCGCGTATTTATGGCAAAAAGTTGCGAGGGGCACAAAATACGCGCAAGGCACAAAATTTTGCAAGTTTTGCTCTACGTGCCGTGTGTGCATGTGTGCATGTGTGCATGTGTGCATGTGTGACTGCCTATTCGACTGGCTCTGTGCGTTGTTCCATTGTGGCATGGAAATCCATGCCGCTAATAATGTTTATGTAAGAACTCTTTGGAGTACGAGCTTTCACAATAATTGCATTGTTTGCCCCCCCTACCCACTGTTTGCCCAACCCTTCACACTATTTGAATGATAATTAAGTGTGTATTACGTGTGTTGGCTTGAAAAGCCAACAGAAAATGCCCTCAGGACGAAAAACTACCAGTTCGAGCTGTGTTTTTTAGCTGGTTGGAGAAACGAAATAAAAAAGGGTGTGGAGTGTATGCATCTGTGTGTGTGTGTGCAAGAAAAGACTTTCTTTTGAACTGGAAGTGTGTATTCCTTAATATTTTTCGAGTGAACTCACAGGCGAATAACAAGTTTCTACAATGATAAATAAGAAAGAAAGATTTCTTGGTATTTGCTACGATAATATAATAGCAATAATATGGAAAATATTAGAAGCAATAATATGGAAAATATTTTTTGAATAAATAATTCGGTTGCTAACAAGTGTTGTATGTCTTGGTATTCCAAAATTTAGAAAAATGTAAAAAACAGAAGAAATTATGCTAATTTTCAGATAAAAATTTATATAAATATATAATATTTTTACAGCACTTGAAAAAAATATTTCTTAACTCAATTTTCTGTATTTTTCATAAATCAATAAAAATTAAGTTTTAATGAATAAAATTTTAAAAATTAAAATAATAATTTATCCATAGTTCAATGAAAATATAGAACTTAGAAAACAAAACGTGTAAAAAAATAATCTGAAACATAAATGATTAAGTTTGAATATAATTCTTGTTTCCTCATTGTCAAGATTATATCGTAAAGGGTGTTTCTCCTAATATACTCTTAATTTATATATACATAAAATGATAACTGTTTACAACGCTATATTTACCGCTTTTAGCCCACTAAACTCGCTGAACGTGTTCGCCGGCAGTTAGCATTAAAAATATGACAAAAGAAATTTCCATTGCATACAAACAGGCGCAGTGCGACGCGTGCTGTAAAATGTGTTGTAAAACGCGCGTGTCGCGGCGGCACAACTATAATTTAAATGCTGCTGTAACACTTTAATTTAATGGATTTACATGCGCCGTTAGCGCACAAGGGGTTCGAGCTGCTCGAAGACAAGCCACAAAATGTGTAAAGCCAAATAGCCTCAAAGTTACGTCCCATAATGAGCATAAAAATATAATGCCCAAATAAATATATATATATATATTGTATATATGCATGCATATATGCATTTACAATGTAAGCTGAGCAAAAACCACCAACCCCTGGCAGTCCCTCGATGAGTAAACTGCTGAAAACTGTTTACCAAAGCGTCGGGCTGATGATGTCATCAGCTGGGCGTCAGATATCGGAGGAGGGTTGTTTGCCAAATTATGCATCCTGAGTTTACGAACAAGATGAAGAAAAAGGAACAAAAATGAGACCCATTGCAGAATCAATAACAATAAACAGAGCAGCGCAACTCCAGAAACTTCAAGATGCGAGTCAGACGTCGCCTTTTGCTACGGCCAGACGTCCCGGCCAACTGGCGCCAATATGTGCAGACATACACATATACCATATCTCTATATATATATATATATATTTACTTCTCTTTTTCGAGGGTGGCTCTGGTTGCTGTTGGTGCTGCTGCGATAGTTTTGCCCGCTCTCTGAACTCCACTTGGCAACAAATTTGAAACAATTTTTTACAAATATTTCTCAACTTTGCAATTTCGATTTTATTAATTAGAAAAATATCCTCAGGCTTGAGGCGGTAATTGAATTTTAGAATTTTATATAAGTAACAAAAAAAAAAACACCAAAATATGTAAGCAGTGACTTTTCGCAGTTTCCAAATTGGAAAACAACAGCAACAACAAAGGAATTTTGATACAGAGCTAGGCCGCTGGCCCGCTGGCGTTAAATTCAATTTTCGCTTTCATCTTTTAATCAATTGCGTGTTAATTAGATAATTTTTTAAGTAATTAACAGCCGACAGTTGCAGCTGAAACAGAAGTTCCCAAAGCATTTAGCTGCAGGTTCGGAAGATAGCAAATTGTTGTTGCATGGCCGCTGCTCGAAAGGACTTTGTAGCCTGGAGGCCTAGAAAAAGTTGGATGCCTCAAAATTGAGCTAATTTAGCTGATTGTTATTACAGCAGCTAACCAGATTGCCATATTTATAAGAATGTGTTGAGCTCAGCGAAATGAACTTCCTTACCGGAGCAGCAAAATTATCGCATGAAAGAAGCGAAGGGAAGGGCAGCGTTTTTTAGACTCTTTTATCTTTTTAACCACTTCCAATTAAGGTGGGATAAGCGATAAGCCAACAGAAAAGTGTTTGTTGTTAAGGGATATTTGAGAGCTCTGTTGCAGACAGGAAAGCAATAAGACTATTGGCGCAATATGATAATAACAATTGGTTGCAGTTAAGCTATTAGCCTTGACATATAGGAAAATATTTTAGCTAGGCAATAAGAAGAAGAGAGATAGTGAGCCCCACAATGGAGAAATGGTCGCTGACATTGAAGACAGAATGAGAGGAGAAGAAAATGTGAGAAGAGATGAGAGAAATTTAGAATGAAGTGAGAGAGAAGATAAAATGATAAAGAGAGCAAAAGTAACAGAAAATGAGAAATGATTGAAAGAGACGATGTGAGGAAGAGTGGGTGAGAGAGGGAGAGCGAGAGAGAAAGTCAACGATACGATAATACAGTAATGAAGATGGAATAATGGAATGGAACGAGATCGAGAGAGAAAGAAAGTCAGGGACAGTTGGATATGAAAGTGAAATACACAAAAATACAATAGATAGAGAGATTAAAATTCAACTGAAGTGATTCAAAGCTTATCTTCTTCTGCAGAATGCAGTAAATATGTTTCTAATGATATTTGCTATATCCTAACATATAAATATAAATATGAAAATCTCTACCATCTCAATTTCTTCTCCGACTATCTTTCATTTTTATGAATTCCCCCGCTCAACGAGTATTTAGAGTAATTTCACTAAACTAAATATAGCCCAATTAAAAAACCAAAAGTTGAAGCTCCTCATAACATTATTAAGTTGATGTTACTCAGAAAGCTATTAAAATAGTTGAAATAAATTTTGTGCAAGCCAAATACCTCTATTTCATTTTAGACCAGCAAGGAAGCCAACTCTATATTTCACATAGATATATACATATGTACATTTATGTGTTTTCCAGCTCTTCCACATCTGCACTAATTAAATAATAAATTTAAGTACTCATATCAAGTTGTTTTAGTTGTTGTAGCTGTAATTTGTTTGTTTGTCTGGTTGTTTTTGCGGATAGGTGGAGCAAGTAGAGGGGGTGAGACACGCCCGCATTTGTGTTTTATGGGTGGGCACGACATCGCTGCGGTCGTCATCAGCGCCATCAGCGTCGATTCATGAAAGCTCAGCGCACAAATGCAGACAAGGACAACAAGGAGCGGTGCGCCTGCATTGCATTGCATTGCACTGAATTGCACTGGATTGCATTGCGTTGCGTTGCGTTGCGTTGAGTTCCGGTGCTGCTAATTACTCAAGCAGACGGGCACGATGAGGACTCGAGGACCTTGTCGGCGGCAGCACCCCATATAATGAACATATGCCAACTGTGCGACACAGTGGCATAAAAAGGTTTTTCTTCTGCTGCCACTCTCTGATTTTGTTTTTCTTTTTTTTTCGCCACTTCACAAGTTATTTACGACTGCGCAGGAGTGCGGTGAGCGGGGGGGGGGCGCGAAAGGCGTGGCACTTACATATAATGCACACAACATAATTTTAATTAGTGGCATGTGAAAACCCATAAGAGAGATAGACCAAACAAACACACACACGCAAAGAGAAAGAGAGAGAGTGAGTGAGTTGAAAAGAGAGGGGGAGCGGGTGGTAGAGAGGGAGAGACAGAACTGTGCTTGCAACAAAAATTATTATGTTATTACGGCTTTTGAGCACAAGCCGCTTATGCGTGGGCGGCCACAGCGGACCAAAAAGGGCGTGGCCCAGGTTTAGCAGCAAAGGCAGACTATGTGGGGATATATGTATGTGTGTGTCTTCGTATTTTATGCAAAATAAATTGACAACACAAGCAAAAACATATTTGGGTCAGATAGTTTTTTTTTTTGTTTTTTTTTTTTTTTTTTTAAAGTTGAAGAAAATGAAAAAAGTGGAATTAGATGATGTGAGTAAAGAGATTACAGTTTGAAAGAAATCTTTTTAATTCAGATTTTTAATTCTAGAATTCGAGCAATATGATGAGGCGACTGGACTGCTTTAAACTCCTGATATTCACCTAGTGCAATTTTGTTGGCCTATCATATTTTTCTAATGCTAAATAATTATAAATTAAAATAATTGCATCAATTACTTAAATCCCAGTATATGCACTAAATTGCATATACACTAGTACACATACTAAATTAATATAATTTCAATACAAAATAAATCAACTCAGTTATTGAGCTATGAGCTAACTGATCTAGTTAGCTACGCTAAATAACAACAGCCATTCAACTAATCGAGCTCCAAGTGAAAAGCAACCTAAACTTTCTTTTTTTTTTTCAAAAAAAAAAAAAAATCAAGCTAGTCAAAAAATTTGTTCATCATTTCATCCGATGCTAGTCAAATATTTCGTAGTACATTTCAGTCGAAATATGGTTCTACGGCAATAAACATTTGCGAGAGTTTTTCCAAATTCAAGCACTCCATGCTTTCTCAATCAATAAAATTTGTGTCAATATATTTATATATGTATTCGCTGTAAATGCTGCACCACGCGAGACTCGTAGCAGTTGCTGTCAAAACTAAAAAAAAAAAAAAAGGACTGCTTCAATGTTGAATGTAGCTCGAGTTTGCACAGTTCCATAAAATTTTTGGTTTCTAAAAGCACAGAACGAAATTCGTGATTTTCAAAAGCCAAGTTCCAAAAAAGAAAAAGAAAACAAAAATTCCGAAACAAAGACCAACTCAAAACATCGCGAAAATTGATAAGAGAAGAGCACCATGTGCAGTCTAGACGATTTCTTTGCTAAGAAGGACCGCAAGAAGTCCACAACAAAAACAAATCTCTTGGCCGCCGACGAGCTCTATCGCACACTGGAAGAGACCGCCAAGGCGCCCCAGGAGGTGGACAGCACCGAGAAGCTGCAAGTGGAGGGGACCAACAATCAGCATCAGCTTGAGTTCGGCATACGCTTCTCCGACGAGACCATCGATGAGGAGGATGAGTGGTGTGATTTCACCGAGGAGCACGATCAGCCATTTCCCAATCTCAAACGCAACTCCAAGCTGATATTGAGCGCAACGGCTGCGGCCGCCAACGAGGATGCGAATCTGACTGACGAGAACTGTCCCTATCAGGATACGGGTGGCGATGGCCTGGGCGTCGGCTCGGCCCAAGACGAGCTGGGCAAGCCAGCGTGTCCCTGGCTGAAGCTGGAGCCCACCGAGCTCACCAGCTTCTCAAGTCCAGCCAAGGAGGGGGCTCTGGAGCGTGAGCCGGCACTCAATGCCTCGCAGTCGCAGTCGCCGCTGCTGCCTCGATCCCAATTGAAGTCGCAGTCACAGTCTCAAGTACAAAACCAATCGCCGTTGCAGTCCCAGTCCCAGAGTCAGTCCCAGTTGCAGTCGCCGTCCGAGTCGCAGTCCCAATCACAGACAACACTCAAGACTCAGCCAAATAATGTGGTCAAGAAGCAGGTCTATGTGCCGCCGGCTCTGCGCCAGAGCCAAAGCGAGTTCAGTGTTCGTCCACGCAAGCAGGCGAATTCTGTGTCCATGAAGCTGGCCAAGGGCCAGGCGCCCGACATAAACAATGTCGATTTCTTTCCATCACTCTGTCAATCACGCAGCTCCAAGCGCGCCAAGTAGTTTTCGCATTCATCATTATGTTTCTCCGTTTTTTTTTCTAGTTAACAAATTTAAATTTGCAACGATTAAAGCTTGAGTCCCGATTAAAAAGAAAAAAAAAAAAAGATTAAGACAAGCTAGCTTTCTTCACTCCCACTCTCACTCTCACTCACTCTCTCGCTCTCTGTGTCTATCTCTGCCTTGCTCGAGTCCCTGGCGTATCATTAGCTGTAAACAAGCCAAATATTTACAGCCAAATCGTTTGAGCGCTAAATGCACCCCGCGGACTGTTTTACGCAACACGCGCCAAACTTTGCCAACAAAATATGTTCATTTCGGGCATTTATCATATCATTAGATTATCTTTTACGGCCTCATATGACCATGAATAAATAAGGCATAATCAATTTATGTGCCGCAGATTAAAGTATTCGAATGCTTAAGTCGCTTGGCCGAAATGTTATTGATTGCAAAGTCGTTTGGTATAGGCATGGAAAATATTGAAAATATTGATGTAAATTTAAATAATGTAATTTGAAATAAAAATAATTATGAAAGTATATTAATATGCAGACAAATATAAAATAGTTTAATTTATATATTTTTTAGGATTTAAATTCGATTTATTCTA